GGGGTAATTTTTCCACGAGTAGTTGTAAATTGGCTGTGTCCACGGGAGGAGGTGAGTTCAGAGTCTGCCTACGCCGCCATCTTGACTCCGCCCCCCTCTACTATTATTTAACCTTAAATATTTGTGCCTTTTTTGTCCAGTTGTACTGTGGAGGATATGAGTTTTGTGTTCTCTAGTAGAGACCTTTCTGTTCAATAGAACTTTCTGCAATGAGGAAATGTTTTAAGTTTGCACTGTCCTATGAGGCGACCACTGGCCACAGGTGGCTTAATGAGCATCTGAAAAATCACTAGAGCAACTGAGCTTTTATTTTATTTAAATCTAAATAGATTCATGTGCTTAATAGCTATAATATTAGACGGCCCAGCTCTAAAAAGTCTGACATGATCTCCTGAATACTGTAGGTGTTCCTATTTCCTCCTTTGCCTCCAAAGACAAGGAAAGACTCATCCAGTTACTCCCCATCCTCAATGGCCCCTTGATTGAAAGTCTGTTATCGCTTAGTGAATTTACTTCCTTATTTGAAAGCTGCTTTGCTGCCAAGTCACTGAGCAGTTTAGGAACAAGGATTCTTACTTTGTCAAAGATTCTACCACATTCAGCTTCAAATTTTCCACTGTGTAGATGATTTTGGGGGAAATGTTTAATTCTAAGCTCTTTTTCACTCTTAATCTTGACCTCTCCTTTTCATATGTTGAACTTGCAAAAACATTTTAATATCTACCTCATTAGAAATGCTTAATTGGAAGTGAAAATATGGAGCAGCCATACACACGCACATTTAAGAGATTTTTTTTTTATGAAAGCATGTCTCAGTTCAGAATCTCTGTGCCTTTTTCAGGATAAAAAATAATTGCTACATTAATATTCCCACACAAATTTACTGTTATCAAAACAACAAGTTCATATCCCAGTGAAATTAGAGAGAAGAGAGAAAATGCCCGAAGCGAGAAAGGATAAAAAGGAATTTAAGGGGCCAGCCTGGTGGCGTAGAGGTTGAGTGTTCACACTCAGCTCTGGTGGCCCTGGTTTGCAGTTTCGGATCCCAGGACTGCACCCGTGCACTGCTTGTCGAGCCATGCTGTGGTGGCATCACATATAAAGTAGAGGAAAATGAGCACAGATGTTAGCCCAGGGTCGATCTTCCTTAGCAAAAAGAGGAGGATTGGCATTGGATGTTAGCTCAGAGCTGATCTCCTCACAAAAAAAAAAAAGGAATTTAATATTTATCATTTTCATTTTTCAAAAGTAAAAACACAGATGTACATAATGACAAAGGAAAAATTTGGATTTACATACATAAAATGTTAATAGTAGTTTTATCTACAGGATAGGATTTCTAGTGATTTTTTTTTTTAATTTTTTGTTTATTGCAGTATTCTTTTTAATACAGTCATGTGCCACATAACGATATTTCAGTCAACAATGGATTGCATATGATAGTGGTCCCATAAGATTAGTAGCATTTAGCCCAGGTGTGTAGTAGGCTATACCTAGGTTTATGTAAGTACTGCGTACCTATATCTAAGTTTGTGTAAGTACTATAAGGAAGGAAGAAGTTTTCCTCTACCCTTCTAGGTTCTCCTGGTTGGTCTAAGAATTAAATTGACATGAGACAGATTAACAGAAGAAAAACAAAAGTTTAATAACATGTATGCCTGGGAGAAACCCAGGAAAATCAAGTAACTCACCAAAATGGCTTAAGCCCTCATCTTAAATACTATCCTCAGCTAAAAACAAAAGAAGATGTTGGGGGTGGGGAGAGTCAGCGACTTCAAAGGGAAGGAAGGCAATTAATAGGTACGTGAAAAGGAGCAAACATTTGGAAAACAAGTGTTTGGCCACACAGAAACAGAAGAACACAGAGGGGAACATGACAACAGGTTTTTCTAGGTTCTTCCCTGTCTACCACCTAGTTCATGTTATGCTAAGATGATAGCTCACTTCCTGAGACAGGTTTATTTATTTATTTTTTTGTGAGGAAGATCCGCCCAGAGCTAACTTCTACCAATCCTCCTCTTTTTGCTGAGGAAGACTGGCCCTGGGCTAACTTCCATGCCCATCTTCCTCCACTTTATATGGGACGCTCCCGCAGCATGGTTTGACAAGCGGTGCGTCAGTGCGCACCCGGGATCCGAACCGGTGAACGTTGGGCCGCCACAGCCGAGTGCACACACATAACTACTTGCGCCACCAGGCCAGCCCCAGTGAGACAGGTTTTTTTAATCTGAATTCTTTTAGGCAGTTAAGGACGAGGTAACAAGAAAAACTTTTTGAGTATTTTGTTTCTTAAAAATAATCAGCCTAAAATAATCTTCATGCTAGAGATACATTTCAAGATGGCAAATTTTGTTCCCCTTAAGTACACTCGATGATGTTCACACAATAACAAAATCACCTAACAATCTATTTCTCAGAATGTATCCCTTTTGTTAAATGAGACATGACTGTATGTTCATGTATTTTAAGTGTACTAACTTCTAAAAATTGAATATACTTTGCATGTGTAATGAAAACATAAAAATAAAAGAATGAATGCATACACATTCTTTAATCTGATATTTTGATTACATATCAACATGTTAGGAATTTAGGTAACCTGATTCTTTGCATTTCACTTATGCTCTGATTTCAAAGGTAATGCATTAGACACATGCCTCTATAATCCTAAGGGAAGCTCACATACGTGTTGACTACTCATCTGAAATTGGTCTTTTGATTTGAGTATAATGCTGAAGTAGAAATGTCTGTCCTTGCTTTTGCTGTATCATAAATTCACCATTTTTTAAACTCTTCAGTCTCTAGTTTAGCAATCTTTGAATCTCAAATAGTTTCTGGTCATTCGTCTTGAGCAGTTTTCCTACACTTGTGCCTCACATTCGATCATTTAGACCAATATTGTAAACTGTTTGATTTTCTACTGTCCTTCATCTGACTCTCTTGAACTTTCCATTCATTAGCAGGGAGGATTGAAAGAGAACCACAACTCAAATGAAACTTTGTTAACAGTGAGTTGGAACAGGGGAAAATACAAGGAATTAGGGATTCCGAATACTGGTACCAGTATGTCATTAACAAATTCGCACATCAGTTTATTCACTAGGTTAACATTTACAAAGTGCATATTATGTACCAGGTTATGCTGGGTATCTGTGGTATGGTAGTGAGAGGAAAAGACACAATCTCTGTCCCGTTGTCTGACATTGGGTAAGCCATTTCACTTCTCTTTAGCCCTTCCGTTATTTGAAGGGGATGGGAGGCTCTCAAAGGTCCTCTTTAGCTCTGTATCCTGTGAACTTACAGCTTCTTTTCTCTCCATTAACTCAGAAACAAAACACTAAGACTTTGCCCACTCTAAAACAAACAAAATTTTGGAGAAAACAGAAGGAGAACAGCAATATGAACAACTGAGAAGTTTTCCATACTACTGAGTGTCCTGTAAGAGTCCTCTGTCATCTATAGGAATAAATGCAGCAATGGTAATGACATTTTCTGCTAATAACCTCATAAATATTTTTACAATCTTGTCTTGAAATTCTAGACATTATTGGGTCAAGTTAAAAAAAAGGAAAGTATCACATGCTCTTTGGTATCTGGCTAGAAAAATGGCCAATGCTGTCTAGAAATGGGACCACTTACCGTGTATTACTTTTGTGTAACTGTCCTTGTGTCCCAGAGTACAATGGTTTCAGTTCCACACACAGATCCCTAAAACTGTATCTTTTGTTCACACACTCAGATACAACCTTGAATTTCTATTTCTCAGAATGTCCATGTGATTGAAAGTATGGTTCCCACAGAGGTCATTAAATAAATTTCTCCTTGCCAAGAATATCATTAATAGACCTAGATTGCCTGTATTGCAGCGTTAGAGTTCACAGTCATATACGCAGGTCTCAAGGGATCAAGTTAATGGTCTGAATGTTATGATGCTGAGCAAGGTGGGAAATGAGAGGATGGAATCACAAAAAAATAAGGGCAATATTGTGTGGTCAGGTAATCTATTCCCATCAAAAAGAAATTATATTAACTACATAATCATGAGATTTAAAAAGAAATGCCATGAGGAAGATCTTCCCATGCCTCATTCATAGTTAATTGGTGCTATTTTCATGCCATGTTGAAAGTATTAAGGGACTTGCCATCTCTAAAGAGTGTGATAAGGAGAGCCTGGCGTGCAGACTGGGGACTTTAGTTGGTTGAGTTGTGCCTACAAGGTAGCCGTTTCATGATGGATATAACTTTGGGGAGGTTACTGCATAGAGAGGATTTTCAGGACATTCTGCTTTTTCTGTGTTGTGAATTTACTTTTGATGCTCCCTTAAGAAAATCTTCAGTACAGATGTACCTGATTTTTTCAAACCTTTTGAAGTCCTTATGTAGCCATTTGTTTGTATCGTTGTCCAGAGACCAGGCCATTTCCATGGTGAGAGCAAAATAAGCCAGTTTTATTCAGATTCCCCATTAACACTGGTGAGGTGGAACAATGAAGTAGAAATTGCAGTACTGACTTTTAAGTCTAATATGCAAAACTTACAAAATATCTTTCCTATTGCCCTCAGAGCAGTAATGATTCCTGATCTGAAATTATATGCAACCAATTCAGAAGACTGATTTTATTATTACCATCTGTTCATGGGGTGTATTGGAGACAGCTTCTGTGCCCCAATTCCAACGACTTCAAATCATTCCTGACCAGCTTACGTCTGTCTTTCCACCCCAGGCCATGGAGGGTAAAAATATTTATTATTATTATCATTATTATTAATATTAATAGCATGAAATTAAATAACGTGAAAGGATACCAATTAAGAACCTTTAATTCCAAGGGAAATCAAATTTTTTTTTTAATTTTTTGTTTATTGCAGTAACATTGGTTTATAACATTGTAAAAATTTCAGGTGTA